CACACCCCCGGCCTCGGGCCCCGGCTGCCGTGCCGTGGCAGCCCACGCTCCGGTGCAAGAGCCGCCGTGGGGTGTTGGTATCTGCTGCGTGGTTGAGTGCAGCCGTGGGGCTGGGAGCATTGGTGCCGCAGGGATGGAGCCGGTACGGCCCTGAGGGCACAGCGGCGGGGCGGTGACAGGGGTGGGGAGGGATGCAGGCAGGCTGGGATGCCTGTGAAGAGCATCAGCTCCAAATATTCACAGATCAGGCATAAAAAGGGCCAAGGGCTTGTAGGGGGGGGTGTCCTTTCACCTGCATCTGGGATGCAAGTGCAGTGCAGTTGCGCTCTTGAGTGTTCCACTGAGTCCAGAGAGATGAAGATACATTTATTTTTTTTTCCTAATATTGATGCTCAAGTGAGCATTGGATCCCAGAAGCTGAGGTCCATGGAACGAGCCCAATGCCCTCCACTTGGGGGAGCAGGAGGATGGGCTTCAAGCCCAGTTCTCCCGGCAAACCAGCCCTTGCAGAGCCGAGGGTGCAGGGCTTGGGTGGGGATCCTGGGCAGGAGGACAGGCAGAGCATCACCAGCACCCGACAGGACCCGTCTGTGGGGACACAAGCACCGGGTGCAGCCCCTCGCCAAGTCCCTCCTGCCCACTCCCAGCAAGAGAAAAAAAAAAGAGCTGTCCGTGAGGTTTTAATTTATTTAAGGTTCAAATATGGCCAGGCACACAGCAACAAATCTTTATAAGAGACAATTACAAAAAAACTTTACAAAAGGTCCTTACAAAAGGACCTCAAAACGCCCCTGGTGCCCCTCGCCCCTCCTGCTGGCCCAGCTCTACATTTTGCGTTCCTTCAGCAAATTGAGGCAAATCATGGCCAGGGTCCTCCGGGAGGTGACGTCCTCCTAGAAATTCACTTCCTCGTCTTTATTATGGTCCAGGTCCAGTCCTGGAGGAGGGGGAGCTCATGGACGTAGCTCAGCCAATGGCCAGGAGCTGGTCCAGCCCTGGGGAGGGGAGTGGGGACCACACAGAGCATCGCTCCCACTCCACCTAGGGGGATGGTCTGCATCCCTCCAGCTCACCCTGGTACCCGCAGGACCCCCAGGGGACCCCAGGACCGAGCGGGCAGGGGGCTTCCCTGCATCCCCATCGTCATGTCGCCCGGGGGTGTTGCATCGGTTGGGGCCAGTGACCACAGGGTGACTCACAGGGTGCAGCCCAAACATGGCGCCCGTCCGCCTCCGCACGCAGCCCCAGGGCTGGCGGAAATGGGATCCGGGGTGGGGGGCAAAGACGGGGCTGGACGAAGCGAAGCCTTCGTGGCATCTCCGCTTGCCGGTGCCGCTGGGAGTAGCCCTGAGGTGACTGATGGAGGTCCGGCTCCCAGTGGAGCCGAGGAGAAGGGGGGAGATGTCCACATCTGGAAGGGGGATGCTACACATCTGGAGCCCGGCACGCAAGCCCAGGTTGGGCACAGATGTTCAGCGGGGAGGGGGGGGAAAGGGGATCGGAAGGAGGAAATGGAGAATTACAGAGGAGAGCGGGATAGGCGCTGGTGCGGGGAAGGGAGGGCTGTGGCTGCGGCTCCTCGTATTTATAGCCATGGGCTGAATCCTCCCACGGCGGTGGCCCGGGGGGGGCTGGCTGGGTGTGGGGGGGAGGTCACTCCTGTGCCCGCCATAAACCCACCCCAAGCAGGAACGCAACCAAAACACTGCTCCCCAAGGATTTGTTTGGGGTGGGGAAGGGAGAAGGGCCCTGGGTGACTTCCCAAGGCGGCAGGTCCTGCCCCACGGGGCAGCAGGTGGGGGGGTACAGGGGATGACCCTGTGTAAGCTTAATAATTATGGCTAAAAGAGAAATAAAAGAGGTGTTAATTGTTAGCACGGTGCTGGTCGGAGGTATTAATCCCTGCGAAAGTTCCTGCCTCGCCTTGCCCGGCCGCCACCGAGAAGTTATCGGGGCTGCAGGGCAGGGCGCTGCCGCTGACTCACGCTAACGTGGCCGGCGGGGATCAGCGCCGCGGGCGGTTCACGAGGGCTCCGCACGCTGCGGCAGAGCAAACTCCAGCTCGGAAGCGCCCTTGCCCTCCCTCGTTATCCAGTACCTGCTGCGTGCACACACGGAAGGGATACAGGATCTTACCCAATGCGGCGGCACACAAGTCTCCGGGGCAAGAAACCCCCGCGGCAAAGCATGCAGAAGACTTCCTTTAAAATAACCTTTATTGAAAGAGCATCACGAAGACGGCGGGAGGGTCATGGGGGGCAGCGGCGATGCAGCCCGGGGC